CTCCTCCTTCATCCTGACTTCTTCTGGGGCTTTAGGGATTTGGTGCTACTGGGGAGAGTCTGCAGCAGTAAAGACAGAGGCAAAGGTGGCATTCAGTACCTCTGCCTTCTTTCTATCCTCTGTCACCAGGGTACCCACCTCATTCAGCAGTGGGCCTATATTGCCTCTAGTGTTAATTCTATCTGCAATTTATTTGAAGAAGCCCTTTCTGTTGTCTTTGACCTCACTTGCAAGGTTTAGTTCCAAGGAAGCCTTAGCTTTCCTAATTGCCTCCCTACATCCTCTGACAACAGTCCTATATTCCTCCCAAGTGGTCAGCCCCTCCTTCCATCATCTCATTTTTCCACTTGAGTTTGCCCAGCAGTTCCTTGTTTCACCATGTGGGTCTCCTGGCTCCCTTACTTGATTTCCTACCCATTGGGATACTCAAATCCTGAACTGGAAAGAAGTGGTCCTTGAATGTTGACCAACTACCTTGAGCCCCTTTACCACCTGGTACTCTGTCCCATGGGACTCCTCTTAACAAAGTGTGACATAAATATCTTTCTAGTTAGTGATAAAGAACAATTTGCATCTTTGCTTATGATACATTTACCACAAGGTCTGACCTCCAGCTTGGTCACAGATTCATATTTGTTACAAATTATCACTTGATGTAGAACACAACACTTAAAAGAAGCGCAGATACGTGGACACTCATGTAAGAATATTAAAATGTTCTGACAAGCAGGCCCTCATTCTCATTTCCATGAATGAACAGTACTGTGGTAATTTGAAAGGGCATTAAAAATCAAGGAAAAGCAACTTTGAGGCCTAATGTAAACAAAACATTTGCCTTTCCTATCTTTCTACCACCTCTGTTTCCAGAAAAATACTTCTCCAACAACAATATAGAAAATCAGGTTAAGGTTTAAAAATACAGAAGCTCTGTACTGTAGCCAAATTAAACTATGCCAAAACACACTGTATTTGCAATTCACTTAACAGTCAGCAAGTTGGACTGCTGACTTTATAATTTGCTAATAATGGTTCTCAGTATTTTAAGTCAACAAGTTACCCAACTTCTAATCCAATGATAGTTTTAACACATTGGGATTCTTCTGGTTTTGCTCTGTGGTGTGGCTTTTTTTTTAAAAAAAAAAAAATTAAAATTTTTTTTTCAAAGTAGAAGAATCAGTGACCTGCTGTTAATGTTCTTTCCTCACTATCAGGTAAAAGATTAGGATTTAGCTGATAGCATGGGATGCTTTCTCCCAGAGCCAGTATAATGAAACACTGCAGATGTTTCAATATCCCACAGTAAATATAAGCATTACACTCCTTCCCTTTTTTTCCTTTCCCAGTTAAAGATGACCATGGATAGGTCCTGAGAGAAATGCCATCTGCTCCTGCTGAGCCTGAGAGACAGCACCCTCACAATTATTTTCTAAGTGCACATAAGAAAACATACGTGCATATGAGAATTGTATTTCTAACCTAGTCTCACACACTCTGTCAATCACAAGGTGGGCATGACCTCACCACTCTGAATATGGTGCATCCAATGCTAGCACAGAAATGTTCTTCTGGGTAAAGCAGCTACTGTTGTACAATATACATGTGTGCAGCAAAGAAACAGCAACTTTTAAATCTCCTTTTCATTGACTATTGGGAAGGAAAGATGGAGGGGAAGATAAAAGTTGGGTGTATTTTTAGTATCTTCTTTCTGTTAAGATTACACTTCACCATTTAAAATCATCAATACCTGTGAGAAAAAGGCTTTTTGATCAGATCAATGACAGGGCTATTGCCAAGTTTTAAGTCTCTGGTGTAAGACAGAATGCTTGTAAACATGGCTAAGTCACTTAGCTGTCACATTTTTAGGTAGATCGTTAAATGGAAAGCACAGATACACTCAAGGGATATTTAAGAATCAAATACTATTTCATAAAGTGTCTTTAAGGTGAAGAATTATTGTATTTACTGCCATAATAAATAATCTCAGACAAGCCAGTCAGAAGATATGGAGGAAAGATACACAGAACCCAGCCCCATAATAATCTTGCTTTGCATTTTTAGGAAAAAAGGTAGTAGGGTTTAGTCTTATGTTTCAGGACAGTGTGGACTTCATTCTAGATCCATTTTCCCCCCACTTTTGTTTCTATTTTGGACATAACATTCTTCTCCTTGTCAAAGCCTGTAAATAGGTGTATTTTTTTCAAGGGAAAGCACAGTCCCATTAATACTGTAATTCAGTGTCTTCCTTTTTTTGCTTGTTCCTTTCAGCAGTTTTCCAAAGCAGGACTGGGGGGCACAGTGACCTTTACTAACAAGTAAAGTAAATTCTACATTCATTTACATTAAATACATGCCATTATTCTATTTTCTTGGTCTGATGTCTTATTTGAGTGTATTAATAGATATCTTAAACAGTTGGTCTGGACTTTTCAGCAAGTATAGCTCAGATTTGTACTACCGTGGTGGTGGTGGGTGAGGGTAGAGGGGAAACCCACTGCTAACCATTTAGGGCAATTTTCCAGGTTTTATGGTATACAACTACTGCTTTTATTTCTAGCCACACTGGACTGTGAGCAAATGCCCAAGTTTTGTAGAATTCAGTCCACTGAGGTCAAGCGAGTTCTTTTCTACACATAAGTACTTTTCCCTTGCTTCCATGTGCTGATGAATCATTACTGGATCCTTCTCTTTCCCAAAAATAGTCTGGAAAGAGCAAAAAGAAACTATGACCCGCAGCACCAAAATTCCCCATTGTGGCAGAAGTGTGACAAATCCTTTAGCAACATGTCCTTCTTCCTCTGCTTCAGCCTAGGTGCTTAGAGTAGAGAGGACAGAAAAACAAAACAGACTTGTGGCATTGTTGCTGACCATACTGCCAATTAGAGAAATCATAACATACTAGGCTGTGTTCTCTGAAAACCCTAAATCACATAGCAACTGTAAGAGTATATGTTTTCAGAACAGCAGTTCACATGAAATGTATATTTTTGGTCAAAGTCTAACTCAGAGCTTGGCTATTACCAAGGACAGCTGAGTTTTGTAGCCCTGACACGTTAATGGATTACTTCCTGATTAGTCTGTTTTCATCAACGTGCAATGCATTTATGATGTGCACCTTCACAACCTACTATGCATCTCTTCTCTGAACATACCCAAACAGATGAAACTCTTCAAGGACTATGACTGTGTCATGCACACACGTACAACTTCACTTGATGTATACAAAGCAGAGAATACCAATTATATTACTGCCTTTAATGAAATACTGCTTATAATTCCACCCCCCCCCCCAAAAAAAAATAAATAAATAAAAAAAATATTTTTATATTAGTAATGCTGGTATGTATTCAAATCAGGTAAAAATCTCAGAAGCTTTAGTGGGATGTGAAAACAAAGAGCAATTTCAGCACTGTTTGCATCTCAGAATTTAAAACACCTTTTTCCTTAGATTGGCTTGACATTTAAATAGTTTCAATTGAAATGATTTTATGTAAACCTATTTCAAACGGAGTAGATATATTTAAAATTATTCTTTTTTTCATACTCATCTTTATAAGCAGTTAAATATTTGAGGCAAGATATTTAGCTGTATAGTAATGGCAAACTATGATAAAACAATCACTTTTGCTATATATGCTCAGACTATACTGAGAATCAAAATGTTACCTGCTGCATTGCAAAACTCCCAGGTCTGGCCAATATAAATATATTTTCTACCTTGTTATAGATTACTACATTCTCAGCTATTAATTCCATAAAAAGAAATACTTACTACTGTGCACAGTCAATCAGCTGATATTCGTTCGACCTCTCGAAACATGCCTTCACACCTTCGTCATCCCAGAGCTTTTTTGCGTGTTCAAAGAATTCCTGAAAATTGGAAAAGCAACAAGTAAGAGAACATTTCTCAGTCTTCACAATCCCCAATTTGTATGTGTTGCACCTTCTGTCCAGCCTTCATGCCTTCTGCTTTTGCAGAATGATAGATCACACCTTTAAATCAGAAGAGCAAAAAACATTTATTAGCAAAACTGCAGAAAAATACACTGAAGATCTGGCTGCTTGAAAGTTTCCAATACATTACATGTAATGAAGACTGTATTCAAAATTCATGCGAGTCCACACAGAAAATTTACTGTAAGTGCAAATGCTACCTAGAACCACACTCACTGGATTTTTAACTGAATTTATGCTTCTGTCACGGAAAAGGCAAAAAAGTGATGCAAAAAGCTCCTCAGCTTATAAACATTAGCTTTCCAGAGAAAGAACTAGTCTGTAACTTTAAGAAATATTGTGTAATTTTTCCTGAAAAACACATCTTTCCACTGCCTGGTATTTTCTCATGCAATATAGTAATTAGATTGCAAGGCTTTCTGAGTTTTTGCTCAACACTGCTTCCTCCGCGCAGCCGCCTGGCACAACAGCCTTTTCCCAGTTGCTAATCCCAGGCAACCCAATCCAGAAATAACTGCCAGCAAGCTTATTTCAGAATTACTTGAAAGAGGAATGAAAGCTATCCTTGGTGATGGTGAAACCACAGCTCTGTCGTATCGAATGCAAACATCCAGAGGGGTAGGTTGGACCCTGCCTGTCAGCTCCTCCAGCCCCTGCTGTAGAGCTTCACATGCTCCAGCTCTTTTCAAAGCAAGAGTCCAGTTTATATTGTATCATTATTGGTAAGTCAAACTGCAATTGACCTATATATAGCAAATTTCCAGCTATAGCTTTCTACAATCAAACGATGAATGGTTAAGACAAATTAATATTTCCTTTATTATATGATAGAGTCTTCTCTCTCTCCAATCAAATTGCTACAGTAGCATGCCAACTAAAACACAGAAGTTGTCTGCAATCTCTTAACACCTCCATGTGGCTACTAAATCATCAGAGTCCATTGGTCAGTCATAAATTTGTGAAACTTAACCAGTGGCTTTTCCACAGATCAGTTTGGCTCTGTGTAAACTGGGTCACTATTCACTTTATCATCATGTTGAAACACTGTGTAAATATCTGAATTCTGAAACTTTCTGAAATTGTTTGCCAGCCTCTTCCCACACCACTCCCCAGCAACTGTCTCTGGCCTGCTGGCGATGTTTTCAAGGAGAGGCAAAACACAAACCAAGATTTTCATAACAACCTAGTATTGAAAATCGTTTAATTAAGCTTTGGACATGGCTTCAGAGGTCCTTAATAACCCCAGAAATGTTTGTGTCTTTCAACTATATTGTGCACCATGTATAAGAGAAAAATCCATTTGTTACGAAGTTTTCAAAACTTCAGAGAAAAGGAGATGTTAAAGCAGGCATGAGAAACCTTCACAGACAGTTTTGGAAGAGGAAGCAATATTAGAGACTGGCAGATGCTTATAGTGCCCTTAGAATTTATTTCTTCATTGTGGTGAGGACATGTTTATTTTGCATTTGTTATTTTAGCAACTTATGTAATGATTGTTTAAAACACTGCAGATGATAAGCTCAAGAAAGGACAAGATATCAAACTAAATAAGTAGAAGGAGAAAGCGGACACAAATAACAGAGAGCACAACTACAAGAGAAAAAGAAAGAACTGGAAAAGTCAAAATGACAAATACCAGAAAACACAGAACATTCCTCAAACTTGAAATCCATGCTTGACTGATATTTAGAGCTTCAGCTGAATGGATCTCACTTGTTGGCATCTTTGTTCAAAGAGAAGTACTGCCTTCTCAATGGCAGGAACAAGCTCTGGATAAATGTCAGGGTCCTGAGGCAAAAGGACTCAGCTCTCCCACCCTCTTTGATGGGTGTGCGTACAGGCACTTGCTGTTGCAGGAATGGAGGCTGAGCATGGTGTGCCAACCCTCCCCTCTTTATCAGCAGCAGCTGGGAATTCCAACCTGCTCAGAAAGCCATCTCTGAGGGGAACCTACATGTAAAAAATGGCCCCATTCAGCCCCTAACAGCCTATGGGAAGGGGATGTTAAGAGGAGAAGGATGCTAGCATGAAAGCTTCCTTTCCTCTGTGATGGGATGGACTGAGAGATGGCTCCAGATGTAAATAAATAAGCTAATTTAAAAAAATAAAATAAAATAGAGCATAGCTCCATCACTTTCTAACTGCACTTCTGTTTTGACATGCTCTGGATGAGCTCTATTTACTCCTAAAAAGGTCTTCTGGAAAAGAAACTCAGTTGCTGAGGCCCTACAAAGATGTTGTAAATACAGGGTTTCCACATTATATGCTTCAAATATTTCTACCTGACCATTATATCTCAAAGGAGTCTATTTAAAATGACTTCTAGACTTCTAGTCCAAAGCAAATCCTATAAAATGGAGCAAATATACTTACCTCATTAAAATGTACCGATCTACTGCAGAGGAGTACACTTGCCTGCAAATTGCCTCCCACACAGCTACCCGATTCTTCTTTCCCAGGTGACTAAGGCCTTCCAGAAAAATCCTGCTTCATTTCAAGACACCAAGTACCATGATCCAACTTCTCACACTTGTTTTTAACCCCTTTCTCATCTACTCCAAGTTTTTTAGTATTTCTTCTCCCTCAACTGCTGAAGGCTCCCATTGCACACAGCCAAGCACAAGGAATGATCGTGATCACACATGCCAAACATATCTGGATCCCAAACTACTCTCCATCACAGGACAACATCCAGGTAGCAGTCAGCACATTAGCTCCAATCTCTGCAACCAAGGCCTCATTGCCCAACTGGTTTCCTAGCAACTGCTCCCTGATCCCCAGTTCCCACGACTCATTCCTATGGACCCCAGTGCTTGTCACCTCCTCCTCCCACCACAGCCACATCATGACCACCTCATTGACTGGCGGGCTCTCATGAGCTGATGAAGGTGTGGGCTTTGGGCTAAGCCTATCTGCAGCTACCCTTGGGGTGGCAGCCATTTTTGGCAATGTCTGCTGTGGGGAAGAGCTAGGGTAATTCAGAGGACAGAGAATCCAGATTTGCTCCAGCTGAGAGAGGAAGATGGGCAAAACCTTTTCAGTCAGGGTTTCTGGGGTGCAGTGAACTACTTACAAAACCTTACCTTAGGTCAGTACAACACAAATAATGTCGTAAGAGTACGTTGTGACCTCAGCAGCTTACATTCTGAGAGGGCCAAACCAAGATTTTCTTAAGGGTCTGACACCTGGCAAGTGGCTTTTCAGAATCTGTTAAAATTCATGAGCCAGATCCTTTAAGAAAGCTCAGCTGGTACAGAAGAAAACCAAGACATGGAGAATCACTAGGGGCATCTGATGCACTTAGTTTGCAAGCACATGCAGTTGCCTTCTTTTGGAAAAAAGTCACTGACATCTACTAAAAATATTTAGTATACTGAAGAGAACCAGGAATAATGTACTATGCCTGAAAACATGAAAAACACCTACATCATGACATGTCTAAAAACACCAAACGTAACAGAGCTGTTTCATCCAAACCCCTCCGTAGGGACAGCAGCATACAAATATTTGCACTGATTAATATACATATAAAATAAAACCACTGATATATTTTTTTTTATGTAGTATTTTAATTAGAGCATTAGTAAATTACGATGAAGTAAATTACGATGCCTCAGGTCTCATGAATTACAGGTACTTCTTATTTTACATAACTTAATTTACACCAGTTACCTAAGATTTTATACCACTCATTAGATGATACAGTATAATAATTTTGATGTGATCAAAATGAAGATGGAACACACAAAAGCTCAAATATTTACTCATATGAAATTATCTGAATTTTTTTCACTCTTCCTGAGACAAAAAAACTCAGCCTTGCACACCTGAGCTTTCTTTTCACTAGCAGATAATTTTTTCTACAAATATTCACACATCATCTAAAAATCATGAGTTGACATAAACAGGTTATGATTCTTTTTCCCAAAACAAATTAAGACGTACATAAGTGTAGAACGCCCCTGAGCCTATATTGCTGATGTAAACAGTATTGTATTTAACTACATTTTAAAAAGGTTTTGTAGAAATATTTTTACTCACCTATTTCAAGGTTACATTTTCAGGCTGAAAAAAAAAGAGAGACTATATTCCTATACAAAACATTCCAAGAAACCAATACAGATAACAAATGCAGATAAACTACAGCTAGATCTCAAAGCACTGTTTTCAGTTTGGTCCTACTGGAAGTTATAGTATGTTGCTGTAATTTAATTTTCCTCATTTTAGAAAAAAATTTATTTATTAGTAGGTTAACTTAGAAACCTCATCCCCCTATAAGTCCTACAAAAAATTTTCAAATAGCGAAAAAATAGGCTTGTTTCACTTTTCAGCTGCCTAAATTGGGAATAAAAATTAATGAGGATTAAACAATGACATATCCTCATGAACAAATATTTATGTATATTGGAAACAGAACTTTTAATCTAATTGCTTTACAAACCACAGAAGTTCAAGTTAGGTCAGGAACACAATTTTTATTCTATTAAGATTCCTTTCTGACTTCCTTGCAGACGGAGCATACATTTAATAGCTATCCTGATGTCACCTTTCAGTCTCACAGAAACTGTGATGTGGAAGCCTCCACTTGATTTTCTATTCCACATATTTCTTCAATTAATATATCATAAATCTGGAAACACCTGCATATATCAATATGAAATACGATCGATCTCCCTGAGCCAAAATTGCATGGTCTTGCCCTAAAATTCAGGACAGTAAGACAATTTCTCATCTAAAAAACAGATTAAACCTGTCTGATTAGCCTGGCAGTTATTTAAAGAAGTGGCAAACACTACACATTTTCATAGTTCTGCCACTGTGGGTGTGAAACAAAGTCATCACTTCTGTTTTGAATTTCAGTTACTACTTCACTCACGCACTTAACCAAACAAAAAGCAATTTCACGCAAGGCATTA